ATAAGTGATGCTTTTCTGCTGTAAAAAAAGTGGCCTTGTCCACATGAATATCTTGTATTGTTTCTTAAATATTCGTAATGCATTTTTTCGACGACTACCTGTTAAACTTTAAAGCCGTAGGTGTTAATCGGTACGCGTGTGGGGATCGCATAAACTACCACCTCTAATCGGTGACCTAAAGACGATCCTGCATGCATTGTATGTGTGTGTGAGTATATTATACGCGAGTAGGTACCTCGAGGCAACGGCGAGGGACACCGGCTCACTCCTTCAGCAGGATACTTTAAATTCCATGCATTTGTCTCAACGACTCTAATTTACATGCGCTTAAAACGAAGGGGGCCGATGTAAACATGACGCTAAGGTGACTATGGGGCAATTTACACACACAAGTGGGCGGAATGCAGACACGTATATGCATATGTAAACAGAAGCTTCTTTAGCATGTACAATTATTGTTATTTAACACAGATATTAAAATCAAAGTTGGACGTTTTGAAAAGAATTTTAAATGTAAGAAAGGGGGAGAATGAGAGTAACTAAAAAAAAAAAGATAGAAAAAGAGTGAAGGGCACATTAAAAAAAAAAAAAAAAGAAAGTGCTGCCGCGTTAAATGTTTTTTATCCTATTTTTGTTTTTGCACTTTAAATAAATGGAATTGAGAGAAAAATAAGAAAAGGGATGAAAAGAAGAAAATATTATTTAATTCTAATTTTAAAATATTAAAACATCAGAGGGATAACTAGTTTCATCAGAGAATTAATAGAAAATACTAATCATTTTACAGTTTAATTTAAAAGTGACTGTATAAACAGGCTGCAACACAATTATTTTGTAAAATGTCTTATTCTTCTGTATTTTCATTCGTCTGTCCTCTATGCATTTCAAATTGTTCATATTTATGAAAGAAATTTGTTTTAACTTTGATTACAGTGTCCGGCGCATCCACCAAAAATTATTGATAGATACTGAGCGTTAAAAAACTAATTCCCCTACCTCTTCGTATTTTCCGTAAAACTAGAACATCCCACATCTTTAAGTATTTCTAAATAGTGATCTAATCTGGGTCTACCTTTATTCCTTCTAACTCCTCTTTATGCTCTTAATAAGTCTCTAACTAGCTCTTCATGCATAAGAAGATGTCCTACCAACCTATCTCGCCTATTTCTTATTAACTTCCATTAGAGTCCTCTGTTCTCCTATTCTTTCTAATATCTCTTCATTTCTAACCTTCACGGTTATTCGCCTTCAACACCACTTTTCGAACGCTTCTAACCGTTACATTCATGTTTCTCACCCTTCCAAAGCCGTACACCAGACATGCACTTTTAATAATCTGTTTTGAATTTCTAAATTAACCGTTAGAAGATTTTTCACCAACTAATCAAATCATTTTACGTAAACCAACCAATACACACCAGTAACCCCAAAACCTACTGAACTAAACACTTTTAAACACATTGATGCGAATTTTCCATTTTCAATTAATAATTTTCCCTCGGGAATTTTACGTATTTCTTTTCACTTAGACTGGATCCATTCTCTGAGTTAGGCAATGGATAAACACCAAGTTGATGACAAAATTCCAGTCATAAACAATTTTAGAAAACAGCTACATATATATATGTATAATACCTAATGATATTTTTGTAAATAACATCTAATTGAATTTTTCATTATCCGCCAATACTACAACAGAATTGGTTTTTATTATCGTACATTGTGTGTCGAAAGGCATGGGGTATTGTTAAGGTTGCTAGTTTGTTTCGGGATATGCGAGTTCGATTTTCGGGAATGCTTCCCTTATGTCTTGGTCGTAGTAATCCAGTCGTATATAACCGGGGGACCCTTGGTAGGTTATAAGCGGCCTTAGTGCAAATGACCGGGCGGACTGTCGAGCGGCCAGGGGTTGCCGGATAGACCGATCGGACGGTCACTTTTCGACAGTTTCGACGTGTACGGGGCCACCAGTCGCGCGGCATATTGCCATGATAGTCCCCGGTGATATACGGTCCTGCAGGTTATACATTCCATAAAACATATATTGAAATGTCACCCGACGACGCTTGTAACTGAATATGACTTATACGAACGACGGACATGCGATATAAATTTTCAGCACAGGCCGTCGAATACGGTGTCGAGGAAAGCGCCATCCTGTTCGCCTCTTTCACCCCCTGCTTCACCTCGTCCTGAATTTGCCCGGCGCTATTTTATCACATTTCATGAAAAAATATTACATGCAGCTAGGGCGTCGTTCTTTTTTTTTTTAGCCCTTTTATTATTTTATTATAATTTCGACTGAATTAAAAAAAAATATTGATCTACATCTAAGTCGCGTATAAAATATCGTAGAAACTTAATCTGATTGATTCTAAACATCTGCAAATTTTCCATAATCCTTTTTTTTTTTTCGACGAGTGCTAGGCCCTAGCGGTGCATTTATCGTAGAAACGTAGGCGGCGTAGTGCTTTAGACGAGTGCAAAAGTTGAAAGCAATTAAAAGTTCCTACCCTCGAACACTCCCAGAGAACAACGGTCCACTCCCCTATGCATAAAATATATATATCGGACGTTAATGGAAGTCCGAAACGGAGATCTGAAGGTCTCTGTCAATGTGATAGGACATCAGACAATTTGCCTTCGACATGCACATGTCGAACGAACGATATCACTACAAATATACTTGACATTAATTTATCCATTTTTAAAATGTAAAAAAGCTATTTGAAAATAAAACAGTACGTGAAATTGTCATGTAGGTACCTTTTAGAAAATTGCCATGAAAAGTATTTTAGTTGTATAAGACAGCAGGTAAAAGTTGGTCTGTGTTCTGTCGGAGCTGCCTGCGACGCGCTGATGAGATCCAAAAAGATCGAAACTGCCGAAACTGCCAGACGCGGATCGCGATTTCGATCTTTTTGGATCTCATCAGCGCGTCGCAGGCAGCTCCGACAGAATACAGACCACTTCGAATGATTTAATTCGATTATGGTAACGTGCCTATCACGTTGAGGTTGGCTACGCCGGGATTCGTTTTCAGTAAGTAGATATCCACACAAGTGGACCTTGTTGGAGCATACGTAATCCTAAAATGTGGCATCGTGCTACAGATGGCGTTTACTGCGCCATTCGTAGTATTTTCTAAAACGCACTGTTAAGACAGCAGGTAAAAGTTGGTCTGTGTTCTGTCGGAGCTGCCTGCGACGCGCTTATGAGATCTAAAAAGATCGAAATCGCGATCCGCGTCTGGCAGTTTCGACAGAATACAGACCACTTCGAATTATTTTATTTGTATAAACTGTCAACATCTATTGGTAACTAGGTTAAAAAAAATGAAAATAATGATCTACATTTATTCAGCCCCTAGAGAACTACAATTAAGCCAATTATGAAAAAAATAGATCGACATTCATTTCGTTGTCTGCTTCACGTGAAATGTCCCAACTGTGTCCGAGCGAGGGATCGAAGCCCATAGTAATGTAGTAGGTGTGCTACAATATTTTGAAAATCAACGAGTGAAACTCTCCATAAAGGGCATTTTTGTACAGCATTTACATGTATCATGGAAGTATGACCTTTGACCATCGGGATGACCGCTGACCCACTAATATTTTTTAACCAAATTTTCATGGTAGATTTATATTAATATAAGGTATTGCCTACACCTAAGATGACCGCTGGATGACATCAAACTTTTTGATAATTTTCATTTTCAAAACGTTTTATTATTACGTTTCACAAAATTTATTATATTAGGTAAATGCTTCTCATTGCTCTAAATACATAATTGAGTTTCAGCATTGATAATCGGCAGTGAATATTTTTGTAATCATCAACAAGTATGACACTATGATATCAATGAATGTTCAGTAAAATTACATTACCATACCTGGTGCATATTATATAAAACTGGGATAAGTAGAAGATTTATTCAGTTGAGTATAAATTATACTGTAATGCGACAGTCCACATTTTAATCTAAATCGGTCAATTTTGTCGAATTCACACATCCTCAGAGTCCATTTGTCGGGCAGTCGTCGGTCAGGATTGCCCTTTTAAATTCACCCTCGCGCTGAAGCGCTACTTTCTGTTATTTAAATTGAATTATACTTGAGTGTGATGGCTATTTATTCTTCGTAGAAACCTTTTAAATAAACCGGTTTCTCTTTTTTCTTTCTTTTTTTCTTTTTGGAAGGGTCATTTTCGTAGACAATCAGATAAAAGCCGAGAACAATCGTATCCCATGTATCACCAAAATCGTACCGACTAAACGGTTTTCGATAAGCTTATAATCCAAAGATATATTTCATGAATACGGAAATTAATGGAACGGAAATGTGATGAAAATCAGTAAAAAAATCTATTATGTAGTATCTTTACCTGTGAAGCAGCTTAACCTATCGATATTTTTGAAATGGATAAATTTCTAATTTCTAACATTATTGAAGTCTAGATCGAGGAGACGAGAAAGTTTGTCTTTAAACTAAACTTAATTTTTTGGAATAACAACAACAAAGATAGAAGTACTCGCGGCTTCGCCCGTGCTGATGTTTTTTTTATTGATTTTACAATCCAAAATTTTACAAAAAAAAAAGACTATTGGTCTAATTTGCGTGCAACGTTTTTAGAGCACTAGGTGTACAATAACGTGTCGTTTATGTCGAGCTTGTTTGATAAATTATAGGTAAGTCTAGTTTGAGTTTGCCAATGTCGAAGAGCAATTTATTTCGAAATTAAGCATAAGGGATGCGAGAGGATAGCCTTGAGCAACATGTGACATTAACAAGGGCATCTGGAAGGGGTGAGTCAGCAAATTTAGGGATTTTTCGTAATATTCTGTCAGTAGGGTATGTTTCTCAAATCGATGATGCTGCGATTTGATAGGTCTCCCTTCGAATACATCGACGATCCCATTTCCGTTCGTTATTGTCTAGTTTCGGTTCAATCATTTTCATGCAAACAAATACATATGTACACACGTAAATTCAGATACTTACAGGGTGATAAACTAGTTTTCGATTGCAGCGCAGTCTTAGATTCGTCATTGGTTGTGATCTGGATTTCTTTTCGCCAAGGCAAGTCATCTTGCAGCCAACTTTTACCTGGAACAATGAATTCACTTCTTAAGAAAAACAGAATATACAACGCGGAGTTTTGAAAAATAAAAAAAAACAATCAATAATTTTAATTCACTCGCAAAATAAAACGTGCAACGTTTCGAGACAAAATATATTGTATTCACAAGTGATGCAGCGGATAGTAACTTTGCAAGGAATCGGATAACCGTGTAACTAGCATTAGCTGTGCCAGGTACCCGACAAGACCACTACGGTTAATCGTTCATGTCTTCGTTCTGACGGATTTTCCATTAAATACAACCCTTTCCAACATATAGTCCCAATCAAAAAGTCGTTTAAACACTAAACCAATAAAATTTTAGTTCCTGGTTGACGGATTTTCAACGAGAGGATTGAGTTAAAATTGCTGAAACGAGTTTATAAACACTAAAAGTCTGCAGGATGACAAAATAAGGTATCGTTACACAAAACTTGATGTGCCAACTAGCGACAGACACAAGAAAAAGTAAACACAAGAACTATATCGAAACAATAAATGCTTTAGTATAGTAATTAATAAATAATACAAATTAGAACAAACAATCTATTCCAATACAATCTTAATTAATTATCAATTTTCAATAAGTAGGTTTTCTGCTATACTTTATCGTTGGCTTTCTCATTTTTCATTTTACTCTGGTAGAATTAATCGATACTGCCGGATAGGTAGTCGGAGTCATTATCCGGTACTCGGCCGGATTCTAGAAAAAGTTCAGGATCAGCTGGATACCGGATCTAAAGTGGGTACCCAGCCCATTTCTACTATTCAATACAATATTATTTTACCACACAGATGATGATGAATCAATTTTTGAGTAATTACATCAAACGTGCCAAACGGCTGAAGAACTTTATTTACTTTATTTTACGGGAACAGATTTTAAAGTGGAAGTTGTAGGTATTAACATATGGATTGTAGTTGCTTAAAATCTGTAGTAGTTTATGTTTGCTAATCGGTACGTTACTGAAGGTAATAAATTTTCCTTTTGCAGCAAAAATTATATGAAATATGACTGCATAATAATTTTGTGTTAGAACGATTACATACAGTGGTATACGTGAAATAGACGTGTACTTCCCAGCTGGTTTTAATTGGAACTTTTATTCTGTTTGGATGGTACACATTTCTTAAGCCCCCAAGCACCTACCCAAAAATTTACGATCCTGAATTGATGTTCTTTCCAAAACTGTTTAAGGATCATATTGTTATTATTTATATAACTCATCACCAATCGGTAGTTTGAGTGAGTCACATTACGAAACTATTTCTTTTGTTAAAGTTAGAAACGAATTTTCAGAAGTAAGTAAATAATTCGATTTCGTACAATATATATATACTGGTAGGTACTTGAGCGTTTTCTAAAGTAGTTTAAAAAGACCGTTTTACGGGAAAATTCGATTGAGATGTCGATTTCCAAATCGCATTATGATTGCCATTGTTACGTGAAGGTAGGTTCCAGGTCCAAGTATACGGTAAAGTTGATTAAATAAGTTAGACCGGTTTGAAAAACACGACAATTTTTTCAATAAGTGACCTAACTATTGGATAGTTCATAGTAAGCCAAATTGTTTATCTGCCGGGAAAAAGTAGAAAATAAAGACGAAAGACCGATATAAAATAGCGAAGGATCCCGTTAGATTCTTACGGAAAATGACCTTATGTCAAACTCTTTGAAGCTTTAGATTTTGATAGTTATGGACGTGTAAATCAAAAATCTCAATGGACACTAAGTCCTAAAAACTCATTATATCGAGATATGGTTCAAGGTAAAATAATTATATCTATTAAAAATATTTATTACGAATATGCATACGTTTGTTCTTATGTCTAATTAAGGTGTGCCAATCTGAACTCTAATTAGGGTGACTATGTTTTTAATATTCGAAAAATTTTACTCTCTGTATTACAACTAACAGGTCGTTGACACTTATCTAACAATATTGCTATTTGTGATTATTAAATTATGTGTGGTAGCTTTTCGTTTTTTTTGGAAAACCCAAAAGAAAGTTAAAATGTAGGATAATTTCGTGATGAAGTATTAACGGTCGGTCGGTCCGGTTGAAGCGGTAATATTAAGGAAGCTGCGTATGTTCGGAGGGAGGACGTCGACCGTGCAACGGGGGGAGGAGGGATATTGATTAGTTGGACCCTAGTTAGCGCGGAGACTGCAACTACTCTCGTCCGCCCTCGACCTCGCATCGCAGGACCTAAAGGCGATAGACAATCAACATGGCAACTAGCAAATTAAGGGACGATACCGAAATGGAATGGGAAATATCCATTTGCATAAATCGTATACGCACGATATTCTACAGTTAGTCGAGGTATTAGTCATATCTTTGGACACTGATTTTCCTTTCAAATAATGCTTATTTCTACAACCTGCAGTGACAGCTTTCCATTGTCATCGTAGTGAATTCAGCTGACTTTGGCAAAAGTGACATTATTTATCAACTGCTTTGCAATGAAACTAATGAAATTTACATAGGAAAAAGTAGAATCAACGAAAATATCTTTAAAGCTAAAAAAACTTGAAAAACACTACTGACACTATTGTAACAAAATAAATAAAAACCTCTAATTATGTATTAAACGTAGTAACCAATATATTCCTAAGTAATTAACAGGAAAACCTAAACATATATGGATTCAACCACATTTAAGCTGCGAATATAAATTGTGCCCAATACAGATGTAAATTTTACATTTTAATAGTATCTTGTTCTTGATAAACAAATATTTTCTTAAAAGGAATCACTTAGTTTGCATTTTATATGCATTTACGTAACAATTTTACATTTAGTTGGTATTTTTTGCATCTTCTATTTCAAATATTTTGTAACGACAATTTTTTACAGCTCTCCATACGTTCAAACAGATTTTTCTATACAACCGTTAAATTTGAATGGAATTTTAGTTGGAATCTTTTTTAATTAACATCACAATTTCAGAATAGATTGAATAATAGATAATATAATCAGTATGCTTATAATTAAAATAAATAAAATTAACGAAATGATGTATTATCAAGCGTCAATATTCAATATTCTTTATCGCCTGCACACATTCCACTAAATCATTTTCTTATTTCAATTACGAATAGGTATTATCAAGCAAGAGAGAGTATAAATAACCAGGTGTACGGTAGTCATTAAATTTGGAATAGAATTGGACTGTGGAAGGATATAAAATACTTCTAAAACTCGTAGAAGCAAGATGCAAGTTTTTATTTATTTTTCTAAATAGTAGTGTGAAATAATTCCTTCGGTTACATACATATATGGTAGTAGCAAACAATAAAGTGTTTTTGTTTTTTAAGAAATGAAGTGGATTATCTGACAGTGAGATATACTAAATCGATATATCAACATCGAAAGAAACGGTAGAGCGAAGATAAATTAACTTATTCATGATTAAGAATATAATTCAATACTGCACACAGTAATTAATTGAAGCATTATGAAAAGAAAGGCGTAAAGAAAAGCACCATTGTTTGACCACTTATTCATAAACAACGAGATATTCGCTTGAGTGGCACGACTTTTTAAGTTTCTTACGCTTAAAAGAATAAATTCGTTTTGGACGCAGTATTTAAATTGTAATTAATCGCATCGTAGTTTTTATTTTATTAACTGGCAACGATTTATTTTTAAATGTCTTATCAAGCATTACTGTGCAAAAAAATAATCTAATCATAAGCAAATCTGATTCTCATTAATTTTCACATAATCTTTAAAGTAGTTCGGCTAAATTTTTATTGACAACAGTGAAAAACTGGCTTCTACCAGAGTTAAAAGTGAACACAAAAATAAGCTAAAAATCGCCGGTTGACTTGTTCTTAGTTTTTCTTTTAAACTAATTTTAAGTGCAAATGATTTTTTATGAAGACATGTTGAAAACGAAGTTTCAAGATTAGCAAACGTTTGGTATCTCAGATATACGTATATATATGTTTGGCAAGATATCAAAAAGTTTTTTGACTTAGAGTCCAAATTAATGTAATATCGAAACATCTATGCATACACACAAGACTCAAAAACATCCTCTAAATAAGGGTAAAAATACATAAAATAATTGAAACACGTCTATAAGGGGATGGAAATTACTCTTATACAATATCAAACTGTTTGTATCTATTATAACTCCAGTAATTGGAAACAAATCCTGAACTCCTTAAGTTTTATGAATATAAATAAAGCATAAACATGTTACGACTTCGGTTACAAAGTAAAAAAATTACCCGTGTATTGAATTATAAATTTGAGTCATTGATGTAGGTACCATAACTTGCATTTTGATAGCAGTTTGTCTGGATCTGGAATGATAACAAATATTCCCACATTTTTTTTTATATAGATACTTATGGAAAGATAAAAATGCGGTGAAAACTTAACGTTTACAATAGTCAACGACGTATTGAATATATGTCAGGTTTTGATATTTGTATTTCATTGTACTGTATTTACCTGAGGTACCATACGGTCAGCTATGTGATTCCAACATGATTATCTTACCCCATCAAAGGTAAGTTAGAAAATAAGTGCAAAAATACTAGTTATCGTCCCATATTCATTTATATCCCGTAATCGATACTTATTTGCTGATTTTGCAATTCAGTAATAATCGCTGCATACGTTTCGACTTTTGAAACCGTCATCAAGTGGACAGTATTTTTATATATTTATCAATAAGCGGGTAGTCTCATTCATCAACAGAGGATGACAACAGTTTTTTTTAGTTAAACGTTTTTATGTGGAATTTTGGAATAAAAGTGTTCTATTTATGATAGAATATATGTAATATGTATATAGGAGGAGAATACACGGACCCGAACGATTTTCGAAAAGGGAAGGGAAAAGCAATTTATCTTTATGAAATTCCTCATTTTCTTGGTCCGTTCGGACAACAAAAAGGCGACTCTGACAATATCACGGGTGCGAGAGAGAGATAGAGGTCATCGCGGAGGCAAAGGTAAGAAAGAAAGAAACGGTTTTTCGGTAGCATGTCATTATGACATAATGATATATCGTTCTTTCGTAAATACTAAAAATTTAAACTGAAATTATCCAAATTACAAGTTGAATAATGACGTTGAAATAGAAACGGAGAGAACGGTTCTGTGAAACAATTATATTTCTGGCTACCGAAATGAATAATAAAAAATATTAAAATCGTGCATGACCGTGAGATATTTTTAAGGAAGTAGCCAACATACAATATAGAAAAAAACAAAAAAAAGGCTGTCCGTAACCTGTCATTACGCTACCAGTAACAAAATGACATATATACATGAACATTGAAGGTGTATGAACGAAGTGGTCTATAATACTACCGCGCGTATAAAACTTTCTTTCAAATTATACTATCGTAGCAACAAACAATAACGTTGCATGTGACATGTAATTTCACGCAAATAACACCTAAGCGTATCTACGACTTAACACAATTAATCTTTTTCTTTTACCAATTTAATGTTAGAGTAGCATTTAATAAATACATACATCCTGTTAAAAATAATAGTAGGTACACAGTTATATATACAGACTATTGCACAACGATTTGAATTTTTGAAAAACCTGATCCAAAAAATTGTGACTGAAAACGGCAACACCATATTTGAATTAAAAAGGTCCTTAAAGTTCTTGAGAGACGTCAATGGTAGATGGTCGAAATCTGATGAACATGGGGCTATCTTCCAATCTACATACAATTTAAATACAATCCAACATTTGTTTAATCATTTGAGGGTGATTACCAATACATTACTGTTTTTAAAAATGAAGTTTATATTGCTATTTATAGAAATTTTTCATATTTTATGTATATCTATTATTTGCTTCCGCTTTAGATATGTCGACATCTTGGTTTTCACCTGTTAATCTCCAAACTGTGCTTTCAGATCTTGATACTGTAACATTTCTCCAAATAGATAGACGCAAGAAATGTCTACCGCTTGAAGAAGCCACAGCGTGATGAAATAATTATTGTGGAATCAATAAATAACTCGTTTCCGTTATTGCGATGGAGTTTCAAGAACTAAAAGCCTGTATTCACACAATGGAGTGAAATCGAAATGTATGTAAAAAACAAATACTTGTAGTAAGTAGAAGAAAAATAGCAATAAACGTTTTATTTAAGATGTGAACCAACAACCGATATCACCAGAAGAAACGAAAAATGAAACAACAAACTTTATAGTTAAAGGTCGCCGGGAATAATGAGAAGGAAAAAGAAATTAAGAATGAAGTAAATGGGTTAGAAATTATTAAAAGACGATGGAAAAGATAAAAAATGAACGACGATATATGAAGAAAATAAAGGAAAATGTCTAATGTCTGATAAAGCAGAAATATTGGTTTACATTATCCTTTTAACACCAAAAAGATTTTGAGCTCGTACTTTTTATTGAAGTTACTAAGAATTATGGAGACCTGAAACATAAACAAAAGTAATAAATTATCATTTGAGATGATTCATTTTTTAATTGTTTCGACTCCATTACGTAATCCTTCCATTAAGCGCTTATAATTTTCATTTCCTGATCCCAGTCCGCTCATTTTGTAACAACACAAAAAATAATGTTTTATGAATTGGACGTTGGAACGCTAATATTTGATCGAATCTTGTAAATTTTCCGGAAAAGGAAGATGTAGGAGCAGCCCCGTCGCGTAGTCCTGTGTTCGTCCTTTAGTCGTCCGAGTTCGTTCGAGTGAATTCAGTTGAAAAAAGCAAACAAGCTTCGTTCGTGCTTCATGTCTTACATATTTAGAATCCGCAACCTTTCTCTCCCTCTCTCTCTTTCTCTTTTTCATTCTCTAGTCACCCGCTCCGGGTACCCGGACTTTTATTCGTCCGGTACCGCTATGAAAGCGTCTGGTAAAAGCATCCGCAATTTACTTAGGGCCCCTCGAATCAAATTGTGAATCTTCAAAAGAAGGTTCGCTCCGCGTGTCCGTCCAACTAAAATGTTCACCATTTCACTTTTATTTAACTCGATCAAACCATACGAAAGATCCTTGGATGTTTAATAGAGAATAACTATTCCTTTTAAATTATTTTTACAATATCCAAAATATACAAAATTTTCATGTACTTAATTACTAGATAAACCAAGTGTTCAAAATATTTTATTCGATTAAGCTACAGTGCCTATCACGTTAAGGTTGGCTACGCCGGGATTCGTTTCAGCAAGTAGATATCCACACAATTGGACCTTATTGAAGCATACGTTATCCTAAAATGTAGCATCGTGCTACAGATGGCGTTTACTGCGTTATTTGTGGTATTTTCTAAAACGCACTGTTAAGACAGCAGGTAAAAGTTGGTCTGTGTTCTGTCGGAGCTGCCTGCGACGCGCTGATGAGATCCAAAAAGATCGAAATCGCGATCCGCGTCTGGCAGTTTCGACAGAATACAAACCACTTCGAATTATTTTAGTGTTCAAAATGTTTCCGGCAATGGGAAGTGTCGATCTAACAAAAATTTCGAACTGGATAAAATTATGATATTTACAGACAGCAACAAGGATAAACGGCGTTATAAGTGAACCTTAAAAAATACTCAGGTAGGGATAAAATGAAGAGGATTGAGCAGGGTTCGTCAAGTGATTTAAATAATGAATTTAATCAAGTAATTTTTTACGAACAAATCAATGATTTAAATCATTGGGTAATAATCAATCAATAAGCATTACTTAATTTATACAGTGGGACTTTTGTTGTGACCTCCACTATTTTAAAGCTGGAATATTACTTGGAATTTCTTCAGAAAGCGTGATATTTTTATAACAATCCGATTTTGCATGTACTTTTGTAATCATATGTACAAAACAAATACTTGCAGTAAGCAGAAGAAAAATATCAATGAAGGTTTTATTTAAGATGTGAACCACCAACCAACATCACCAGAAACAAAACTTGGTCGTAGGAAATAATGTAGAGGAAAATGAAGTATAAGTTAGGTTCTTTTTTGAAGTAATTCAAATTGGCCGTCAATGTTTGATTCATCCTTAATGCATTGTCAAATAAGGACTGCTAACTGCTCTTTTTTGGGATGTACAGCAATATTTATGAATTTTCGTTCTGTTACAGAGGTTGAAGTCAAACACTGTGGCCGAAAAATAAAAGTACCTTTCCAGGTGGTTGGTATGATTAACGACTAAAAAGTCCATAATTTAATAACGTCCTGATTAGATAATTACTATTCCTGTAAAGGCTTAAAACTGCACCGGTATTCTTGCATTATCACATGTTTACGCGTTTTACAGTTGGAATGCGATCAGAGCCGCTAAAAAATGCTAATGTATTCCAACTTTTAACAGATAAAATTTCATGATCAGCGCCATAGTTGGCGTAACAGACCGATAAAATTGGGAAAAAAATTGAAATAGTTGGCTAAGAAATTAGACCATAAATGGTATCGAGCAAATGGTACGCGCAGGCAGCCGGTATAATAAATACGTAATGAATGATTAATTAGTTATTTTTAAATGATACATTTATTTATGAATACTTATAAAGGAAACTGTTACTAGGCATTGCAAAAAAGGCATTAACGAACGAATAGACGAAGATGGAAAAGGAAAAATGAGAAGTACCTACACGGATTAAAGAAGACATAAAGAAAATGAAATGTCAGCAAAAGTAAGAAGAATGGGGCCATACCTTCCTGTCACTGTTTTTGTATCTGCTTAGTTATTCGTAGAATATTTTGATACGGAATGTTGAAGAAATTTGTTTTTTATATCAAAACAAAAAAATCACATCTTTTACATTAATTAAGACGTTCAAGTTATAGAACCTTAACTGCTATTACTGTGTTTAGTGATTTCCGTCGTATAAAGTGTGTGGTTGTTATAAAAAAACGGACAGGCAGACACGAGTGATCTTATAAGGGTTCCGTTTTTCATTCGGACGTACGGAACCCTAACCCGAGAACTAAATCAACATTGTAGTTGAAAAACAAACATGTTTCCCATACATTCAAACTTCAAATGTAAATGTACGCACAACAATGTTCTGTTGAAAGATTTACCACGTTTTCCTGTAATCTATATGTGAACAATTATTTTCTGTATTTTTTTCAAAATTTTGGGTTCGGTAGTCTCAAAAAGTGGCCAATTTTCATTTATTTTCTGAAATAACTTTAAAACTATTTGCTTTAAAATACATTTAAGACCCTTATAACAAGTTCTTTCATTTGATATGTGGCACGGTACAGTTTGCAGAACGTTTTTTTAATGTCTAAAAATTAATTAACAATCCAGTAGATTTTGAGCTAACTGACTCTGACAGACGGACAGACAGTCATACAAGTGGTCCTATATAAGGGTTCCGTTTTTCATTCAGACGTACCGAACCCTAATAAACAATTAAACTGTTTCCTGTTACCTTTTCCAAAACCTTTTGCATAGTTTATTAAAATCTAATCTATCTAGGTAGTAGATACACTGTTATTGAAGTAGGTGGATCATTTTCAGCTAACAAAATACTTAATTACTGGAGTAGGTTTTTTATTGCCATAAATACAATTTTTACAAGAGATAACTGGTCCCCGTTTAGACCCCTGCGGGTCCCGATTTAATTCGGACATTGATTGCGAGTATCAAGCGTGACGAAATTGTAATGTTAGTGGCAAAAAATCGAAACGGGGGAGAGGGGGAATTGCTTTAATCCACGACAAGATAATTTTTGCTACCTAATAAAACTTGTTACGTATCTCGCAACGAGGTATGACGTCGCATGGACCGGAAGCTGAACGAAAGTTCTTCGAAACTTGAAAATAAAACAAATCATTAAGCATCAAACGAACAAACGCTCCTCGATCAAATAACAAAAAAGCTCGTGTTCGAAGCGACGCGGTGGTTGCCATTGGTTACCCTTTCGATATAAGGGTTGAAGCTTATTTTCATATGTATGTGCAAGTGTGTGTGTCTGTGTGTTGTGCGCGAAGCAAGTCTACCTGAACAGATTACAAAAATGTACATATAAATGTGCGAGTTCGCGCACGCGTCCCGATTTTACATAATATCAATAGAGAGATATGGGCGTGCTACGCTTGCGCTATGCAAACTACCCCTTTACATCTGCATACGGTAAAAAAGTGGGATGGCTGGTCGACCAATATGCTTCCACCAAAAAGCTCACGACCTACTTTTTAACCCTAGAAGATGGAGAGATCCTGCACGGATCCCGACTTGCCCTTATGTATTTAAATTTACATCGATATGATACATAGCAGATCTGAGATAGAAGGATATAACAGGACCAAAAAGGATGTTTCTGTGCTTTCAGGAATATGATGATGGATTATAACACCCTGTGTAATCAGGATAACAGTGATAGCTTAATAACCCTTTCTTCAAATTTCGTCTTTTTGGTAAATTTTTCAGTTATACTGAAACTGCTTACAGGGAGCAAAAAATATGACAATTATAAGGATATAAAGAAAAACTCAATAGCGACAATCTCTAAGGACAAATCTGTGTTACCTACAGTGGTGTTTCTTTTAATCTCAATATCAATCCGATCGAAGATTAGCAGGTGTCTAGCACCAGATTGTTTTGACTAGTTGGATACGCACCTCCACTTCTAACTTCCTCCTATTTCACATTTCTCGAAAATTACATCCCTATTTTTTTAATTGGACGAAAAAGTATAAGAAATTTTTAAGTCTTAAGTATACTGTTACAATTTCTTTTATAGCATAGGTATTTAACACCTTTACCTATATAATTTGTAACTAATTTGACACTGAAAAGTGGACCTTTTACCCATTTTGTCGGGAGTCCACCCTTGAGCTGATCGGTGAAAAATGATTTGATAATTTCTCGCAATTTTATGATATTCCGATTTTTAGATTTGTAGTGCCAGCTCCATGACTCCGTAATCGTTTTTCACTGATCAGTTCGAAACTGGACAAAATGGGCAAAAGTACAATCTTTCATCGGCAAATTGTAACTTGACAGTATTTATTTTTCTTTTACGTCATTTCTTTTCCGCTGTACGCTACGTGTACAGTTGCAATTAAGTCATTTTTAGTCGTACAGTTGGAATGTACACACTAGTGACAAAATGGGTAAAAGTATTCTTTCAGCAAAAAATTTTAACCCTTGGACCATTTCTATTTCGAGATACCTACGCTATGAGTATTATTTGATATTAGGGTCTATTTTTGCAGTAACCGAGGCGATCGACAAATTATAGTGAATTTTAATATTGCGGGCTACGGATTTTTGTAAAATGGTTCATAAACTCGCTCCCTTCAATTCATTTTTCCAATTTATACAGACTACAATGTTAAATCCGCACTTCTGTCAACAAATTTCACCTTCTCTTTCTACCGTCTCAAATGTTTTTATACCTTGAATAAAAACGGCCGGCGGATCATCATCATCATCATCATCATGACAATGGATCCCGGCCGTATATTTTTTCTTCGTATTTCTTTAAGGCATCGGAAATCTTAAAGCGG